TGTGCCTCCTTTCATCTTATGTGATGGGAAACAAGACTTGAAAATTGCCCTAAGATCTTGTGCACAATGGTGAGATGCTCTGAAATTTGCAAGATGTTCTTTGATTATTTGTCTTTCCAATGCATTAATTTTCAAGTTATCAAGCTTTCAGAACCGAAAGGTACAGGTTTTAAGAATTATCCACTCCCTTGGGGCAAGAAGTGATGTCTTTAAATCTTAAATTTTTAAATGTGAAATCTATTAAAACTATCAGAGGAAGCCAAGACTAGATTGGATAAAGACCACAAATCTGTGTAGGCTGAGAAAGACCAGCAATTCTCATGTAATCATAGAAATTCGAACAGAACTGTAATCTGCCTGAGCAACTGACTTCTCTTTTCTTACTTAGTACCTAGAGAAGCAGCATCCATATCCCCCCCTCCCCCTAGAGATCTCTCCGTCTTATGCACAAAGGGCTTCAAGGAACTAAGGGAAAGAGGCCCCAGTTTATTGGTTGAGACTGTTCCCCTCCTTTGAGAGGTGTCCTGCATACGAGCATGGAGAGGGCAAGATATGATAAAGTAGTTATCTTGATATTATAACTTATAATTTATCATCTCTTCCATCAAGGATGACCTCTCATCAACTCCCATAACATTTAAGCAACAAAGTGCTAAAATGTATGGAAGCAGCGATACGCTCAACAACTTGGACCAGTCAATAACAGCAAAAGCTCCACTATGGCAAAAGTGAAATGCTTAGCTCTACACACTCGTTATCTTCAACGTAGATTCATCACGGTGTACATGACGTTCTCATTCTTTCGTTACTTCGCAAACGGTATGTGGATTGGCTCCACTACACTCTATGCGGATTGAATTGAGTGCATTTTGGAAGGTGGATGAACTATGCTTCATTGTTTTGTGCACTTACCATAAAATCTTCACAAAAGACTCCCTTTCAGTTATATGTGCACGTATACTCAGAAACCTGATTTGCAATCGAAGATCTTCTTGCAAAGCTGTTCTGCAACTGATATTGGCTACCAATCGCTCGAGATGTGATGCAGCCAGATCCAGCCTCAGTGCCCTCCTCCTATGCGATAGAGAGTGCAATCCATTTCGAGATATTCCAGACTTGTAAATGATGATGTGCACCTTACAAACCTTCTACTCTTGATTATAAAGATACAAATTACATGTGCTGAACAGCATTTAGGCCCGAAATATTTAGCTAAAAGTGCCACAAAAAGGACTTTAACACAGTCACAGCGCTTATCTATTTCTTAAGCAGTGTTTTTTTCATCACCGCTCAATAAGCTTTCAGCTGTTTTCTAATCTTAAGGAATTACAATATCATTGAAAGTTCCCAAAAAATAATTTTTTTGCGCAATGTTACTGCAATTCTGCAGAGGATTCCCCATTTTAATGCAAAAACTATTCTTAACTGTCTTCTGTTGCTAGGTGGAAAAGCGAAAATTTTTGCAGATACATTCAAATGACAAGTAGGACAGGTAATCATAGCAATAGCAAAATTCATGAAGAACACAAATTTATTGTTTATCAAAAGTGATTATGCTGAGATCAGCTGTTGTATCAAAATTACCACCTAAAAAATTTTCAAGTCGAGTGAACTTGCGTTTTTATCTGAAAATGAGGAAAAAAGACATACACAAGAATTAGACATAAGAGCTGGCACCATCAAAACAGTGCTCACCAATATTATACATCAGTAAAACTGAGCTATTGGATAAGTTGTTTTCGAGCTTACGAAAATCCCAGAAAAGCTATAGTTTTTGGGTCCATATATGTCATTGAAAAGAGGAACTGCACTACAGACAACTTTGCTCAATTACCAAAGCTGACATGGCTTTAGGGATGCAGATTGCGAATTCATCCATTTCTCTGTGGCCTTACCATTGGATCACCGTGGGTTGACGATGAATAGATAAATATCTCAAACTTGTCATACGAGCGAGTACTATACTATTAGGGTAACATGATAAGTTGATTACTGATATCATGTCCATGACATGGCAAGGTAACTTGAAAGAGGTACAAAATCAACCAAATTTCTTTTCAAGCGGATCAGACATTTTAGCCATTCCATCAATCTGCTGTGATTTTACAATAAGGCCTCCGTGTGCGGAGTGGATACAATTTTCGTAGTTGATATATTAATTCTCCGTGATAGTCTACCGCTTCATAATAGCGCGGGGGTGATTCTGCATGTCGAACTGCGAAGTAGGCGGAGTTTTATTCTCCAGCAACGTCTCCCATGCTGAGAAGGAGTTCGACGTTTTCGGCTCCCTGGATGCCTTACTAAGAGTAGGCCATGCCAGAAGCCCCATCGTCTGCCTGATCAAGCCGCTAGGTGGTTTCCTGATTCACATATGCCAACGATTGCTTGTGGTGGAAGCTTGGCAAGGCTGTTAAGTTAGGGAAAAATTTAAGAAGCCCTGCACACAGGATCACACCTACGGCGTCGGATGTCATCAAGACCAATGTCAGGTTGCACAGACGCCATAGTTAAACCAAAAGGACACGTCAACGACACGCCATGGAGATTGTCTCATGCTCTGCACCCACAACGCCAGGACCGTCTCCACCAATGCCGATTTTCACGCCCTTCTCGAAGCTGCAGGACGCACCAACTATCACGTAATGGCCTTGTAGAAAATCAGGTCAAGGAAGACGGACATGAGGCAGCTGAGTGATGGCACATTCATCATTCGTGGTCGGAGGCGTTGGATTTGTCGTACACCTATCTGTTGTCCATCTTGTCGATTCGCATGAGACGCTATCACCTCGCCTGGCTATCCTTCGACTCCTTCTCGAAGCTGCAGGGCGCATCAACTATTAAGTAATCGCCTTGCAGGAAACAAAGTCCACAAAGACGGACGTGAGGCAGCTGAGCGATGGCACACTCATATTCTTGAGATGCTATCAAGGAACGTTGGAGGCGTGGATATGTCTTACACCCATCTTTTGTCCATCTTGTCGATTCGCATGAGACCCTATCACCTCGCCTGGCTATCCTTCGACTCCGCTCTCTGCATCAGAAAGCCATCACTATCATCAACTGCTATTCTCCAACATCAGCAGCTGATGATTCAGAACTTTATGCTTTTTATGAGGATTTGGAGGGAGTCATCCGCAAAGAAAATTCCTTCTATAAGTTCGTTATGGGTGACTTCAATGCGAAAATCGGAATACCAGAAGAAGGGGAGCACAGGACCAGAGATTTGAATCAGAACTCCGGAATGAGAATGGTAACCGTCTTGTTGGACTCTTATCCGCCGCACGGCTTTTTCATGGCAATCCATTATGAAGAAAGAACACCGGCGGTGGACATGGGAGTCACGCAGCGGCACGACTCATGCGGAAATCGACCACATTCTCAGCAATCAAAGTTGGTGCTCACTGACGTTTCTGTGGGACTATCCTTCAGCAGTGGTTCAAATCACCGTCTCCTTTAAGCAAAAGTGCGATTCGGCCAAAAGCTGGAAAAGGAGATCAGTCACCGTGTTGGAGGAAGGAGAGAATTCGTATATGACGGCGTCAGATTGGAGGAGCTCCTAACCACTGTAACGGTCCATCAAAGGACTACGACCTGCTTCTTAGATAACCGAGAGCCTGTGGTGAAAGTGCCTCAATGC